TGACGTGATAAATTTTGATGGCGTCTATGCTAGAGCATACACAGTTTCTCATCTGTAAAAATAAAATATATTGTCGTCTGACGAGACTATAGAATCTTAACACACCTTGATTGATTTCTGGAGTTTAACGTCCCAAAAACACCATATGATTATGAGAGACGCCGTAGTGGAGCGCTCCGGAAATTTTGACCACCTGGGGTTCTTTAACGTGCACCCAAATCTGAGCACATGGGCCAACGAAATTTCCGCCTCCATCGGAAATGCAGCCGCCGCAGCCGTGTTTTGATCCCGTGACCTGCGTGTCAGCAGCCGAGTACCTGAGCCACTAGACCACCGTGGCGGGGCAATCTTAACACACCTTGCACGAACGAGCTTCGTTGAGCCAGTATGGCCAAACTACGAAAAATCCACTTTAGATTCTTGACGTTACGCATAAAAGGTTTCGGTGCTAAACTTAAACATGGAATTTAGCCCGTCATTTTCTTCTATGTTAATAAACATATGATGGCTGAAATAACGACATTAGTGTTTTTAGAGCCTTTAAAACATCAATGTGTTCAAGTGATAGATCTAAACCGTTTCGTTACAGCACTTCAGTGTCACTTTAAAGAGATAAAAAGAAAGTATCTGGGTATGCTCCCTAAACGTCTAAGAAGTCATCACCATTTACGCTGTATAGGTCTTTTGTTTGTGGGTATGTTTACAAGTAAAATACTTTTTTGCCATTTGTATAGTTCTATTCATTTATTTATTTAGCGTATGTGACGTTACGCCTGCAAGTGCAATGATATGCTTTGTCCGCAAATAACACACGCACAAAGTAAAGTACCAACTAGGCCAACAATCAGTATTGCATGTGCAATGTTTTCCAATTTTCGTTCATTGACTGCTTTTCAGTTTCTTCCAAAAGGTGTGTTACATGAATGTATTTTTGTTGGGCATCAGGCGCACGAGAGCTACAGTTTTCTAGCCTTTGTTCTGGAGTCTCTTCCCTATTTTAAACGGGGAAAATAAAGACAACTATTATTTCTTATTTATTTATATATTTAATCAGTCCAACCCGTACCTTAGAGCGTCCTCTCATGACAATGAAGGTCTTCCATATTAATAACGGCCCATAGCCCATGACGTTGCATAGAACTGCTTACTTCCAAAGTTTAACCGGGACCTAAGGCAGGCCGCTGCAACAAGTACCCTGCCGCTTATTTTCTTTTTTTCATCTATTGTGAAGCTTGTTATCTTTTAGACTCGACCAACAAAATACCCCCCCCCCCCCCCCATCCACAAACTCTGGCCTACCTAATATACAACCCTGTGCACCGGTATGCATGTACATAATTTACTCGTCTCGTCGCATGCTCCTACTCCAAATCAATCTGAGCATAGCATGGCATACAGGCATAGTCGTACGCAAGGGGACCGCGAAGTCAGCCCTATATATTGACATGATGGGGGGTGCGGGTGCAACAACGAACCCCCCTCCCCCCCTCCCCCCCCCAATTGAAGGAGGACCGTGCACACGCTTACGCACACAGGTAAACCTCATTTTCGGAACTCAAGCCAACTTCAACGAACACGGGCATCAAGTAGCAAATGTATAATGCTCCACTTGATGCCAAGACACTGCGCTATAGACGCCATAACGGTGCGATCACCGTTTAAAAAAAAAGAAGATGAAGTTGAAGTATACCAGACGCAACTGAAGCCTCGCAACCGGATATGCCCTGTCTGCGCTCCTTGTTCGACGCAACTGTACCATCCTGAAGAATAATGCACATGCCCTGACGGGCGCTGCTGCTGAGCTACAGACAATTCACCCCGCGTAGATCTGCCAACTTTAAATTCCATCGTGGCGTTCGCGACTTGCCCTCCATACGTCTAACATCACGAGAGAAACATGATATCTGGGTCTTCGTGGACAGGTGGTGTGATGGTATAACGCCACGCGCCGATATGGTTTCTAGCGTTGCGTAATTAGGGGGTCTTACAAAGCAAAGAAAAAAAAAAGAAAACAGCAGTTGGCGAGGTCCGGCGAACAATGGCTAACACCAAGTGAGTCAGCGCCGACCGGTATTCAGACGTCAAGGCCGCGCCAAGGCCATTATTTGTGCGGCGAGAGCAAATAGCGAACGGCATGCAGACTTCAACGAAACCTCGAATGCCCGTGCTGCGAGTTGCCCCTCTCGAAGACAAGTGTGCCATAGCAAACAGGTCGGCGCCAGTGCCCAAGAGTCTGGACAGTTGGGTCTGACGTTGGAATGATGGGTATGGTGCGCCCCGCCGCGGTGGTCTAGTGGCCAAGGTACTCGGCTGCTGACCCGCAGGTCGCGGGTTCGAATCCCGGCTGCGGCGGCTGCATTTCCGATGGAGGCGGAAATGCTGTATAGGCCCGTGTGCTCAGATTTGGGTGCACGTTAAAGAACCCCGGGTGGTCGAAATTTCCGGAGCCCTCCACTACGGCGTCTCTCATAATCATATGGTGGTTTTGGGACGTTAAACCCCACAAATCAATCATGGGTATGGTGCGTGCTTAGGAGACAATTCGGTCCTCTGTTAGACGCAACGAAATCAGTCCGAGGGACAATTATGCCGAGAAGAGCGTAAGAGGCATTCATTGTTGTCTTCAGCTGCAGCGCACCAATTAGGACGCAAAGTTAAAGTGGATGAAAAATCACTTTCCGTTGGTGGGATTCCAACCCGCAACCTTTAAATGACGTCCGCGCGATGCTCTATCGATCAAGCTGCGACAGAAGGTGGATGATGTTGTGCCTTGCAATTCCACCGAGGGAAAGGACAATTTTTCGTTTACTTCAGTTTTTCTCAATTACGACATGACAGATATACAGTGTCCCCTATGTTTTTCTTGGCATAATTACCATACATGCGCACACACAAAAAACGAGTACTCCATAAAAAATAAATTTCTTTCGTTCAATTTCATCCTGAGGTTTCGAACGAGTCTGGCATTGAACGGTGTGGCTTTCTTCGCTTCAATTTTTTCACGCAACCACGTTCTTGGCGTGACGTGTACGGATAACGGGCAGCGTCTGTTATGGACGGGAAAACTAACCGTCCTAACTAACTAACTAAACTAACCAAGCGTGGCTAACCATGAAAATATTCTTCTCCATATATTTTGTCCCTGGTTTCGCGTTTGACGGCTCCGCAAGTGGAGTGTTTTAGCTGAGCCGCTTCAACACTGTGATCCTCTACGGATGCATCCACATTTCGGCATTGATTTCCATAGGGTGAATCAAACCGCGGCTGTTAACTTCGCGATCTCGCGTTCGCGCTTTCGAGCTAAGCCTTGTCGATTGTTACTTTGAATTGAAGGCTTAGTTTGATCTGTCCCGCTTTCATGCGACATGCAAAGGTTTTCAGGCCACTACCCCATGGCACTATGGCCTGGAAAAATTTTGATTGATTGATTGATATGTGGGGTTTAACGTCCCAAAACCACTATATGATTATGAGAGACGCCGTAGTGGAGGGCTCCGGAAATTTCGACCACCTGGGGTTCTTTAACGTGCACCCAAATCTGAGCACACGGGCCTACAACATTTCCGCCTCCATCGGAAATGCAGCCGCCGCAGCCGGTACTCGAACCCGCGCCCTTCGGCTGGAAAAATTTTGACGGACCCTGTACACTTAGCATGGAGGAAGCTCAAACGGCGTTAATAAGAAATCCTAACCAGCTCGTAACGTCTACAAGCAACGATACTTATAGCGCGAGAACAGAACGACGACAAAGAGACAAGAAGGACACGAGCGCGTCCTTCTTGTCTCTGCATCGTCGTTCTGTTCTCGCACTTTAACTATCGTCATGCCATACCAACTAGCCCAAGCTGCCGCACTTCTGAGTCTACAAGCAGTCACGGGCGTAGGCGTGCGCGCGGGGGCCAGGGGTGGGGCGAGAGGGGGGCGCAGAGCCAAGCCAGCACATTGGCATGATAGGAAGGGGGGCACCACGACGAGCCTTCACACCAACTCCCCTAACCTGAAGGGAAAACCCTCTACGTGCTTAAACCTGAACCTGATGTGTGTCAATTTTCTAGCAACACGCCTTCATTTGCCACCCACTTCCATGCTCAGGTAACGTGGCACGCGCTAAAGACAACTAGCGGAACACTCTTCAAGTCGGCTGTATAAATTGTGATCGCTTGCCTCAGGCACTTCTCCTCCCTTGTTTTTCCCCCTTACCTTTTTATAAGTACTACGCTATGCCTTGGGCACACATGTCAAATTACTCCAAAGTACCTAAATTTCAAGAAAAATGACAAATCGAAACTGATTTAGTGCAGGTTTTTTTTTTTCGAGACAGGACAACCCGAAGGGAACACACACAAGCACTTCCGTAAATCCAATGACATTACCATTATTTTATCATATATGTAATTACTTATCAATCAATTTAAACATTCCCACGCCCGAGGTGGTTTGGCTATCAGAGTGACTAACGTTTATTTTCTGTCCTTGGTCATTTTTTGTGTGTATGCCACAAGGAAAAAGGACAATGATATAGCGTATTGAAATGTAATCGGTAAAGAAATGAGTATTTTCAGGAAGTCGCTAGCTTGAAGTCAGGAAGTCGTTAGCTTGACCAGCCAGCTGCATAATTCAGTAAAGTTACGGCAAAAGTGAATTTCATTACTGTGACGTCATTACCACCATGTCTGGTCCAGAGAGTTTTTACTTCCAGCACCACCCTGTGAAACAAACAGATGGCTTACAGCTAATACGTACTATACATTGTGTCCTGTTAGCTCTCCCCGCCAAACAGAACATTGTTTGCATCATGCTTGTAAACTATGTCCTGTTAGCTCTTACTTTCAGCGTTTCCCATCCCCCAACATGACACGGTTTACCCGTCGTATATGTGAAATATGCCCTCGCTTTCAGCATTTTCCATTCCTTTCTGCCTTTTAACGCCCAATATTTTGTTCTTTTCGCTACAAAACTAGCTCTTGGTGCTGCGCGGTCATCTGTGAACGTCCACGTACCTGTTGAGTTGGAAAACGATTGAGTCCGATTTCGGCCGCCGAGTTGATCTCGATGCGATTAGGGATGCCAGAAATAATGAGAGGCCGGGGTTGGTATCTCCTTCGGGGAGGAACGGGTAATCCAACTCAGGGCTATAATAATGTGGTTGGGTGAAAAGGGAGAAACAAAAAAAGGAACAAAAACAAGGATAGACAAATCAAAACAAGGAACAAAATAATAAATAACGAATGGTACGAAAAAATTAACAAAAAGTAAAAAAAAGAGGGTAAATTGATGTGGGTCGTGGAACGGGACGAAACGATTTGTGTGGTGTAGGGCGGTGATATTGTGTAGTAGCCGATACACGTTATGAAAACTACATACAATGTCCGGCAACTTTGATATGCAGGAGTAACCTATATTACTTTATACACAGTAAATTTCATTTCAGCATATCCTTACAATCGACCCAAAAAGTTTGCGAAATTCAGTATGAAAAATAAAAAAAAGATAGTTTTGCAACCTTGTGTTCGTACTTCCATTGTCTAATACAAAAAAAAATCGTATATGACATTGAATTACGTTTAAATAGAAAGCAGTCAACAGTAAAAAAAAGAAAACAAATATCTGGATATTCTTGTGATACTCTCGATGAACAGTAACATTAGTATTTAGTTTATTTACGGTTTTAGTGACTACAGTCACATGGTGCTCGCAGAAACAACGTCACAATAAGAACCTGAATTGAGCATAACTGAAGCATTGACTTTCCTTGGCGTAGTCAAGAAAAAATGGTTCACCCCCCCTCCCCTCCTTTCAGAATAAATAAACAAAAACTCTGGCAATGTCCCTGTTTACTGTCGCGTACGGGAGTTCCCGTGGTTCGCCTACAACTACGCCACTGCCCATCTCGAAGCATAATTCGAGCAGATTTGCCAACCAATTACGTTCGCCCGTTTATGTAACGTCACAGAGAAGGCGGGCTCATCTCGATATCAGCGTTCCTGGGGAGCTACTTTGGAGAACGAAGACACTCGGGGGTTATGGGCAATGTGGGCGGAGCTTGAGTCGAATTCTTACGCATAGTTTGTCGAAGAGGTTGGCGATTTCTCGTCTCTTGAACCGTAAACAAAACGTTCCAGGAAAGCAAAGACGTATGCCTACCGCCTAGGCGTAAATGCACGCCATAGTTCTGCGTGTAGAAATATAAACACCATACGACAGTTATCACAAGCGGAGCTCTTAACGGCTGTCTCATACGGTGAACAGTTCGTGAAGTAATTTTGCTTAATTAACCTCCCTGTCTTTTCCTTCTATTTATTTATTGCTAAACATAGTACCTCACGTTCATTGAGCTTTCATGATGGAGTGTATATCTGATATATTTTTGATTCGTGCGACAAAAAGCCTAAAAGTGATATGAGTTCATGTGGAACCCATATTGGAATAGTTGGGTGCAACATAGGTCCCAGTTACTGTGTTGCATGTGCAAAAATCTACGTTAGATCGAGGAATACAAGGTACGAAAGAGAAGCAGAGCAGAGTTGAAAACGTAGCACTGATACTACAGTATGCTACTCTTCAAAGTCGCGAACGATCACATGAGCACCGTTTGAATGCTAGTGCGACTCAGACCAACGATGTGAACGAAGTAGCGACACTTCGTCCCGCGTTTTATTCGGTTCGGTCGAATTCACGTTAGCTTAAATTTACAGCTGTGCTAATTAACTAGTACGGCTAGCGGTGGTGTCACACGTACGAGACGAACGGATCCGCTTTTTCAAACCTTCAAAAGAATTCGTTGCTGAGCTAGTTACTTCATGGTATAACTGTCAGTTCAAGCACACGAATAAACAGAAAGGAAGAGAGGACAAGCGCTTGTCCTTTCTTCCTTTCTGTTTATTCGTGCGCTTGAACTGACAGTTATACCATGCATATCCAACTAGCCCAACTTTGGATTCTGTTAGTTACTTCATGCTTGTAAACTTCAGAACGCAAATCCGGTACAGGACATTCAAATTGGTACTTCGATGTCTTGTACCTAACTTGTTCCCTGCGGTTTCTTTACTACCACACAGGCGGCTTCTTGGACACCTGTCGTCGGACAGGTAGCAAAACAATAAGCAAACAAAACATAAGAGCAGAGCACGACAAGGTGGGAGTGGCGCGGAAGCCATCTACGCACCGTGCATGTACGGGGTAGGTCAACCGAATGAATGGGAGCGAGGTTGGGGTAAGTTGTAAGGAGGCGGAGGGGAGGGGTTTGCGAACGTTTGCGCGAGCACGTAGGCCGGCCAAAGCGAGTGAATAAAGAAGCGAAACAAAAACAAAGTGAGGCAATCAATTGAAAAAAGCACGACGCACCGATTGATTCCAGGGCGGAGGATGTTGCGGAGGGAGGGTCGACCACAGGTTTCACACCAAGAAGCAGCAGCAGCAGGTAGGGATGCGTAGGGTGTTTGCAGAGCCAAACCAAAGGCAAAGAGAAAAAAAAAATACACAGCTCTTGGTAATGCCAATAAATACACCGTCGCAGAAGATACCCCCACGTCTTGTTGCTTGCGTCTTTCTCCGTGGATAACGGCGGGTGCTGTCTCGCAGAGCGGTAGTATTACCGTAGTGGTTGTGGCGATTCTTCGTCAAATACCACTCGAAGAGGTGTCGGGGAGGGTAGTGAGCGCCCCCTTTTTTTTATCTCCCGTGCGGTGGCACCTTTTTGCTTTAACCTCTCGACTACGTCGGCTGAGAAATGTACGCGCCCTGTCATGCCACGCTTATATTTTCCGCCTCGGAAGGGGGGCGTGGTAGTAGCGAGAGGGGGGCTCGCCCCGCGCTCGCCGCTCCCATTGGTCGCGAGCGCGGGCGTCGGCCCTGACGTCAGCTCCGAGCGGGGGTCACGTGGGATGCTGCGTACACGCGCGCACTCCCGACTTGTGACCGAGCTCACGCACTCGCATAGCGAGGACTGCACTGCTATGTGTTGGCGTACAGTTTTCCTCGTTTCTTCGTACGCTTTTCTCTTGATCTTTTTTTTTCTTCGTGTGACCAGCTCCAGGCATCGTGCGTTTATTTCTCTCTCTTGTTGGTTCTCGAAGTGGCTGATGAAAGAACGGCGGGTAGTTGAGGCAAGTGGAGCCGTACGCCGTTGTACGGCCGCGGTGAAGTTTCTGATACTTTTTTTTTTTACTGATCTGGTACTGTTGGTCTCTCCGATGCAGCCGCCCAATTACGCGCGCCGACGTTCCTCCTCACCCAAACTCACGTGTTTCCATTCTTCAGGCCTCCCCCAAAGTGTACACACGGCATCGGCGACTTCGCCTCGCAACCGATGCAATGAACCCCTCTCTACGCATACGCCATCTAGCTTAGCAGGCTGGCGGTCTCGTGATCGGCGGCATCTTTTCTTTCATTTTGCTCTCGCCTTCTTTCCATCGGTGGCTACCGAACGAAACATACTCCTTGTTTTTTTTTTTTTTTTTTCATTCTACATTTCCACTCCTCACATCTCCAGGCTGGCTTATCTCTCTCCCTGCGGTTTTCTTGAAATCTTTGCTCTAGACTCTAGGAGATGGAATGTGCGATGGGCTCTCCAAAGGAATGCGCTTTCTAGCGCGGTAGCAAGGGCGAGGGTGGGGAATCGGTATGGGGTGATCGGGGGGATACTTAAGGGGGCCTCTACTGCTTCTTCTCGTTTCGCCCCCCCCCCTCCCTTCTTGCCTCCTTTCTCAACATCACCCAATACCTTCGCAGTCTGTGAACAGCGTGGTCATTTCTTCGAGGGGAGCCACGGCCGGCTGGTTATACCTGGTCCTCTTTCCTATGCCTTTTTCCGTTGACGCCGCGTCGCGCGAAAGAGAGAAGGAAAAGACGCGAAGGTCTTCCGCGCGACTACTTCGGGGGGTTTCGGAATATTTCCAGCGGCCCCTTTGTCGCCCGCTGACGGACGCAAGTCGCGGCATTAGTTGCGTGCAGTGGGGCGTTGGCGCCAAGTGCTCGGCGTTCGCGCTTTACTGAAGAGAATTCGTTTGTGGGCCGGTTAGTTCTCGCGTTTAAATTTTCAGCGCACAATTCCTATACAAACAGGGACAGGCCTAATAATTCCATATGTTGCTTGTCAACTGTTGCACCTGACCATTCTTCATACGCGGATACATGACGAAATCTAATAGACTGTTAAAAGGTGCGTTGGCGTCATGTCGAGAGGGCATTCACCTCGTCCAGCTACTGTGAGTGTAGTGGCCTGAATTCTCTCAGGATTCGCGTAAAGGAAATCGAGTCCTCTGAACTATTCGAAACGACACAGACAGTTAAAGCTTTAAGGGAGAGCTTCAAGGCTACGGTGGCATCGTTCTCCACTACTTGACGCTGACGTCACACTATGCGAAAGGTGTCAGGCCGGCTTTGGGGCAGGGGATCATGAATGGGCGAGGCACATCGTTCAATTGCTGATGCATTCGGCTAAGAACAGAGGCTTCTCGTTGCGATCATTTATGATGGCGCGATAGTACTCGGAGCAGTTATCACGAATTAGTTACGATGGTGCAATTGCACCACCTACGGGATACACAGCTACCACGGCGGTATTTTACGTTATTGCGGTTGGGGAAAAGCGTGCACTAACGGCGAATAACGTGATATTGATTTGTAGTGGATTTCTTATCATAATTAAACAGGCGACGCACAGCATGCTTGTAGGAGATTTGTTAAGAACCAGTCTGTCATACATATCGCCGATAGCCAGAGGTCTGCTAGTGCAACAGCAGACGCTCGAAGGGCCGGTAGCAGATAGTGTGCACGCCACTTCCGTTGCTTCTAAAGATAGTGTCAAAACTTCTAAACTGATAACAAATGCCTTACCATCTCGAACACACACCGTCAGCACTCGATGAGTCGTCTCGGAGATGGGATTGTACGCAGCTGAAGTTTTATAAATGTTTTCCAGGAAAACGATCTTGTGACCGACGTGGTTCGTGCGCTTGGTTCGCTAATGTGCGGCTAAGTTGTGGGTGGACTTGATTTATGGTGCACTAACTTAACTGCTAATTTGGGCAGTACGTCCAGGGGGTTACGCGACCATACTGAATTGTGGACCGTTGTGGTCTTCTTGAAACGTTCGCTCAGTGACCTCCGTTAACAGTTAGCAGCGTCCCATTGATTACTAAGTACAGACATTAATAGTAATTCTGTTAGCGACACTGCCCTCATGACTAATATTTACTGCAGTTATTATAACTGCTATGGAGAGTAACCAGAGCCATCCTCAAATCCCATTTTTCTACTATACTTTATCACACGTCTAGTAGAGCCACCACTCCTACCGCATTAGCTATTGCTAACTACAACTTATACTACTGCTAACTGCCGTGACCGCCAGCCCAGACTACCACTAATGCTAGTTAAAATTAGCTATTAATGCTGCCAGCAGCACTTCTACGTTGCTATAAAACTACCATCACTGCAGCACCTTTACTATTACCATAGCTACTACTAACCACTGCCGTACCTCCGATATAGCTACTATCGCCAATGATAACTGCTACCGATTAAGGGGGGGGGGAGGTATGGAGTTCACACCCCTCCAGAATTTTCGCCCCCCTCCCCCCTTCACAAAGCAAGCATAGACAAAACACAACGCGTAGGTTCCCAGCCTCTCTTCCATCCTGAAAGAACTCGCTTGCCATGGGTGCCACATGGTAAAAAATACAAGAACAAAAAAAAAACCCTGGCACCGCCCTGCTTTTGGGCCGCATACACTGCACCGAACTTGCGGTGCGAAGTGTTCGGCACGAAAGCTTGCTCCGTGCTTTCCTTCCCTCGTTACCTCCCTCAGAAAAGTTAAATAGATGAAGAGCAGGGGCCACACTCTCAGCAGGTGTTGCGACCCCTGGTGGCTCGCGGAAGCAAGATCGGGCATGTTCTCCTGCGGAATGTTTTGTCTGTCCTACCAGGCACGCCTCGGCGCAGTTTTTCAGGCGTTATTTGCGTTTGTTTGCTTGTTTGTCTGTGCTCAAAGTAGCGTGGGCTACGATGTGGGGCCATGTGTGAATGGCACCTCCAGCCCTGTTAAGAATGGACTCGCGTGCATACACGTTTTTTCGCAGTCGAGTATAGCCGGCGCTAATATGAGATCGTGAGGACGTTTCAGCTCTATCGTATGCCGTAAAAAAGAGAAAAAAAAACGCAGAGAAGGAATAAAGAAAAAAGAAAGCGGTAGGTGGTGTCCCGACCGACGGAATACGGGTCGTGAAGCACATTAGCGAAAACGCCGCTAGCGTCGGGAACGTGCGGCGTGCAAGAAACGAACTTCATTACGTCATGCGCCAGCGCCTCTCGGAGGAAAGTTGCCAGACGGTTGTGCAGCGTTTCGGTTAAGTGTTAAAACTTGTCGTTGGCTTGCTAGCAACTCGTAATATTGTAAGTAATTTATCGCAATAGTGGGGCGTGAGTGTAAATGTGCGAGTCTTTCTGGGGATGCCCAAGTTTCGCTAAATTACTCTACAATATGACCGGTTAAGTGTAAAACCACAACGTTTGCACCGCGCCCGATTCGGAAGGCGATCTCGCACGTCTTTCAATAAATGTGTTTTACTTTGGTCGGCTCTGTACGTTTCACTTCTTCGGGCATGTTAGTTTTGGGTTCATACGGGATTTCTTCGAACTTTTAAGTAAGCTCAACTTCATCGGACTTCAGCGAATGAATCCGACAGGCAGGCGATGGTAAACATAGGAGAGATGAATTGGGGAAAGCATAAGGGATACGAACCCAAAACCTTCAAATTACGAGTCCATTACATAATTCGAATAAGGTTATGGGTTCGTATCCAACCGGTGGAAAGGATGATTTCTCTTCCACTTTTTTCCCCCATAAGATGCGTCAGAATCATTAAAGGCAACAGCTGATGTCTCCCTTGATTTCCCTATACTCGCCATGGTGATGTAGTGGTTATACCTGCTCAACTGCTAACCGAAAGGTCGCGGGATCGAATACCAGTCTTGGCGGTCACACTTTCACTGCAGGCGAGAATGCCTGGGGCTCGTGTACTTAGATTTAGGTGCATGCACGTTAAGGAACCTCAGGCGGCCGGAATCTCGGAAACCCTCCACCATGGCGTCTCTCTTAATTATATGGTGGTGCCGGGACGTTAAACCCCAATAATTAATATTGGTCCTGTCCAACAACAACAACAAAAAAGATCCAATCCTTAGCGAAAATTCCCTCTTTTTTTGTTCCTTCATCCGACAATGCACTGTGGAAATTCTGCGGCGAAGCCACCGATAAAAAAACTGTCTACGTTTTTCCCAATACATTCAAATGCATAAGCTTACAGTCTATCGGCCCTGCATGCATGCCCACGCGTCATCGAAAAAACCCCAATCATCGCGTGACGTACAAGCATAAGAGTGTCGCTTCTATTGCCCGCGCGTTCCCTCCCTGTTCGATCTATAACTGCTGTAAAGAGCAAGAATAAGGACCCGACACGCAAGCTTCATCTGTCTATACTTTAATTTTCACGCCCCGTCCCCCGGAACACTCCTTACAGTCCGCCTAGGCGCTCAGTGGACGTCAGGCGCGATGAGAACGAAACACACACACACTCACACACACAAAAAAAAGAAACACGGAATATCCACAAAGTCAATGACCAAGAGTAGGCGAAGCAATTCGTTCGTTGTTACAATAGGTCACTCGGAACATTGACCACTCGCGCATGCATATGAATGACAAAG